AAATTAATTTAATATGGTAGCAGTCAATATTTAATTTACATAGTTCCTTTTTTAAAGTATGCATGTTTTTTAAAAAAATTTTATGTACGTATGTATGTACGTATGTATTTAATGGAGGTGCCGGGGAATGAAGCCAGGACTTCATGCACGCTAAGCTGGAACTCTACTACTGAGCCCTACCTTTCCCCCATGTATGTGTTTTTTTAGATCTTCCATTTCTCCTATAAACACATTCCTGTTAAGGAGGAGCAGATATCATTTTGTGAAAATTTAATTTGTCGTTTTGAGGGAATATTTCTGAGTGTAATAAAAATCTTTATGATCCCCCGAATTGTAAAAGACTATTGAAAGCTAGTCGAGCCGAGGTAAGTAATGGAGGTGAAGATAAACAAACAGTATGAATTACGTGCGGTAGCCTGACGTGTTGAGCCAAATGCAGATGCTTCCCAGTTTTGAGCAGAGAGGACTGCAGACTGACTCGTGTGCGTGCGTTTGATGAAATGGCAAAGCAGGCGTTGTGCAGGGGTTTTAGGCTCTGGTGTTACTGGTCTTCCCAGCACATGCTTTGTAGGGCTCTATTTTGTTTCAGTCAGCTCTCCTGCAGTACACGTGTATGGTGTGCAGAAAGTCGGGGAGACTGTGTTGTGCGCCTTCACACAGTTCATCTTCCAGGGCGTTTCTTCATTCTTTGCAGCCGCAGTGACAGCAGTGGGTGAGCCTGGGCCGTGGCAGCAGCCTGCTTGGTAACCAGGAAGGGTTTGCGCACGTCCACCCGTGACTTTCTGGTTGCCTCACACGGCTGTGCGTCTCGGCTGCTGCTTCCTCTGGAACACAGCTTCCATCCTGTCTGTGTCTGAGTCTCAGATACAGTTTCACTATTTTAATTTTCAGCTTTTAAACCGTTCGTGGTTGTGACATCATGTATCATTTCATTTCTGCCAACCCTCTCGAGCTCAGCAGTGCTCGAGCATACAGTGTGCCCTTTCTTTCTTTCTTCCTGTTGACGCAGAGTCAGTTCACAGTGCTGTGTCCGTTTCTGGTGGACACACAGTGCTTCAGTCATGCACAAACATACATACATTCATTTTCGTGTTCTCTTTCACCATAAGTTACTGCAAAATATTGAATACAGTTCCCTGTGCTGTACGGTGTAGGCTTGTTGTTTATCTAATCCTGGCTAAGGAGTCACAATGCCCCCAGCAGCGTTCTTTTCTCTCCCAAGTTACAGGGGAAAGTTTTACTTTGGATCAGCCATTCTTCATATTCCACAAATACCTCTAAGAAAATATTTAGAGTAAGTAATGTTTAAGTTTTTGAGATATTTAATTCCGAGTTTCTGACCTTGCTGTGTGTCTCTCCTCCTAAGGCCAAAGGGGCCGCCAGCTGCGGCCCAGGCCAGACAAGTGGTGGGGTTCCCACAGCGGCAGTGGGAGGCCCGGCAGAACAGGGCCCGGGCCGAGGGCCACCCGGCAGGTGCGCTTCTGGGATGCCCGCTCGGTGGGGAGGGCTACAGTGAGGCCGGCACAAGGGACGCACCGTGACGCTGTCTATGTAGGCTGTTCCTCTGAACGCTTTCTGAGTATCTCACTCTCCTCTGCGATGCCTTTCCTGCTGAGGGTGAGGTTCTGTCGTTGCTTTGGTGACTCGGGCGTAGGTTCATGGCTGTGTCCTTCCTTTAAAAGGAGTCGAAGCAGGCAGAGTGACCCAGATACTTACACTAAGTTAATAAGTTCTTACATTGCTCCGCCCTATATGCTTTTGGTTTTAAATACTTTTAAGTGGCAAAGAATTGTAGAAGAAAAATGGGAAATATAAACATTTGAATAAATACATGTGTAACTATGCGTTTGCTCAAAAGAAAATTAGAAGCAAAAGTATTTCACAGCCTCTGATTATGCCAGTTAACTGAGTTAATCGTGTATCCAAGGCGGTATTAACGGTTGTCAGATAATCATTTCAGTAGTAGTTTTGACTTGCAGAGGCCCAGAGATGCCCTTTGACCTCTGGTCCCCAGAACAGCTGGTGAGTGTTTCCGTCTGCGCAGCGCCCCGTGGGCACCACGTTCATGTGGGATCGGTCGTTGTGGGGTCATGTATTTTGTTTAGACTTATGCCTCCTGTGAGCTCACAGGTGATATCTTCAAGTTAATCAGTGTGATTATTCACATTTAGGGTATTTCTTTCTTTCAGATAATACCGTAGAAAAGCAGTTAAACTTGTAGTGGTTACCCTGTGTATTGTTAACACCCGTTAGTTGCTGTTCTCCTGTCTGGAGTTGATGTGTGCCTGTGTCCTCTGTGTACACAGAAGACCACCTTTTCCCCTGCCCCATTTCTCCCGTGTTAACAGCATCAGGAATTGTAGTTACAGGTTTTAATTTAAAATATTTTAAAACAGTTATTAGACTCTCCAAGATGTACTGACTTCTTTCCTTGGCACTGTTCCTCATGCCCTGCTGCCCCCGCCCCCCCAGTTTATGTCTTCATGCTGCACATTGTCCCCTGTGATCCTTTTGGGGAGAAACTATCCCAGATGTGTTGAGAAATGTCCTTATTCTGTTCACATTAAGTTCAATGTTCACATTTGTATTAAATGTTCATTTGTGGCGGTGGGTCTGCTGAGGAACTTGCTTTAGCATTTTGTATGTCTGAAAAAGCGTCTTGCCCTCTTTTTTGAAAAATATTCTTGCTGGAGGTAGTTTGACAGATTGAAAGTATTTCTTTCCTTACTTGAAGGACGCTCCTCCTCTTGCGTCCTGGCCTGCCTGACCTGGCAAGGCGTCTGCTGTCTTCTTCCAGTTTTCCTCCCGTGTGGCGTGTCCTCTCCCGACAGCGTGTAGCATTTTCTCTGCATCGCTGAGAGCGATTAGGTTATGACGAAGCGTGGTGTAGTTTTCTCCATGTTTATTTTGTTGGGGGTTCATCAAGCCCTTGGACCTGTGGGTTTATAATTTTCTTCAGATTTAGGGAAATTCTGCCGTTATCTCTTCAGAATTATGTTTCTGTGCTCCCCTGTCCCTCTGGGACGCTCAGTGCCCATGCGCCAGCTCGCTGACACTGCACTCCTTTCTTTGGGTCCTTTTCCTGTGTTTCATCTTGGGTGGCTTCTGTCACTGCGTCTTCAAGTCCGTTAGTCTCCTTGTCTGCTGCGTCTGGTCTCTCTGCGGTTGATCCCGTGCAGACGTTTACAGTGTGTCTTCCATCTCTTACAGCGAGTGCACTTTAAGGTCGCCGTTCTGCTTTCCGTTGTCTGTCTGTGTAATACTTACGCGTTTCCCTACCTTCTTGAACATGTAGAATATGACTATGATAGTCTTTTTAATGACCCTGTCTGCTAATTCTGTTATCCTTGTCATTTCTGAGTCTGTTTGTTGATTATTTTTTCTATTCATTGAGGTCGTCTCTTCCTGCTTCTCGACCCACCTGGTCATTTGTGCTCGGATGCCAAGCATTGTGTATTTTATGTTGGATTTTTTTTTTTATCTAAATATGTTGGGGCTTTATTCTCGGGTGTAGTTAATGTTACTCGAGTCTTTGAAGGCTTGCTTCTCAGCTTTGCTGGGCAGGTTCAGAACCGTCTTTAGTGTAGTGCTCGCTCGGCCCTAGCACTGAGCGGTCCTCTCCTGCTCCGGTGGCGTTGACAGTACCCGGTGCTCTCCTGATT